GGGCGGGGGCACGCAGGACCGCGGCGCGGTCAGCCCCGGCGGGAGATCAGTCCTGCGGCTTCACAGAAAGCCCAAGGGTCTGCCCCGTGCAGTAATTACATGAGGAAGTGGAGAAATACTGGGCAAATGGAAGATGAGCTAAATGGAGATAAAATGTTGTATACTGTCACATGTGCTATGTAAGCTCAAAGTCCTGAAACGTTCGTGTTTCAAAAAAAAGGGTACAGAAATTGTGAAACCTCTAATACAAAAAAAGGCAAAGTAATTTTCTTAACTGTTGTAGGCTCGTTTTAAGGCATCATCTCGCTGGGTTGTGTTTGTATGCTGTCTCAATACAGTGCTATGTATTTGCCACATACTGCTCCACGCTGTGTGGAGCAACAGAGCGTAACAGTTTTTTTCAGAGTTCCTAGATAAAGTAATAATTATAAAGTTAATAATAGCTCTCTAGGCCTATTGCAAGAAGTTTTGGCTATGTGTGGCCAGAACTATACAGCTAACTCCTAACTGGCCCAAACTTTGTGGTCGGCCTCCTCAAGATGCTGTAATAGTAATCATTCATAGATTTTTGTGCAATTTACTAGTCTTAAAACATTTTAATTCATCATTCATGCACAAACCTGAAATAGAAACTTATCTAAAATAAAAAGATTGTTGTTGCTTCTGTTGTTTTTACAGTTTTCACAGAATAAAACTGGCCTAATATTAGGAAAATTACATTAATGCTTGGGAGGCAAGGTGACAAAAGTATATTCCTAATTTTAGGCCACACAGTAGGCTAGCATGACTCTATCTAATCAGCAGTCCTTGTACATATAACAAGGGTAAGTAAAAAAATTAGTAAAATAGAAATCTTTGTAGAATACAGTCTGAAAAATGCTTGGCACTTGAAGGAATGTCTGCACCATCAGGAAATAGATTGAGAGGGCAGGTACGGTGCTCCACAGCACCACAACCTTCCTTAGTGTGACTCAGAGATACTATCCGAATTGGGGGGGCTCCTTACTCTACAAACGTATTCGTTATTACAACATTCCTATTTCAAGCATCATAGGGGCTATTTGAAATTATTCTTTGCAAGACCGAGGACGTAATGTGGGTCTGCATTTCTGCCTCTTGTAACATTCCTTGTGTAGCATCAAGCAGGTTTTGGCACGAGAGCTGAGTTTAACATAAAATATATATTGGCAAATTTGTTTATTGATAGGTTTGTATATATCAGGCATAAGTAGATACAATCTCTAAAGGCAGAAAATGCCATCCTACATAGGGACTTTGAGAAATTAATAATTCCAATAACTAGTTTAGTACCTGAGAACAATGTAGAAATACTTGACCAAAGAGATACTAGAATTAGAAATAATATGACAATATTAATGAAAGCTCAATAGAAGATCTATATGGATGATGTACTAGCCTCGTCCACTGACTGCAAGTATTAAGATTAATAGCTATACTTGAATAACTCATTTATTATTATGCAGTAAGAATATACTTCTCTCATAGTCACCCAGCACCCAGAATATAGTTGCAATAATCAAAAGATTTTGTGGTAACTAGAACAGTAGCTCCTTCTTCTGTAGCTGGTAATGGAAATGAAGTTTCACAGCCAGTCTGAGGTTTCACCAACCCACAGTCACTGCAAGTGCATTCTTCCACTGAATACATTAATGTTTCACTTTGAAGTGAGTGTCTAATTCCTTCTGTATTCACACTGCTTTCAGTAGTAGCCTTGAGAATATTATTCAGCTCCACAGAAGAGTCTGTAAATATACAGAAGTTAATTTAGTACATACATTATGCTATACCAGACACAGAGTTATTAAAGATCCAAATTTTATTATGTTCCAACTATGTTCCTAACCTTAGTGAAAGTTTTAAGATACACTGAAAATTTCAAGATGTAGTTATATATGATAATCTTTTGTTCTATGACAATATACCCCCCATACTTCTGGATAAGCATTTAAGTAATCTAACACGTATTTTCTAATCAGTTATTATTTATTGGCTGAACACTTCACAAATATCAGTATTTGTAAAATGTAAAAATAACAAATTTTTTCACCTTCCTAAAATATACTACATATGATTCTCACAGGCTAGAATATTAAGTAAAATTATTTAATGTCGTATAAGATGGAAAGCTAATATTGAATGTGTATCCTCTACCTGGGTAGAATCCCTTTTACATTCAAGGAAAACAGGATGAAACCCTTATAAAGATCTTTTGCTATTGAGGGTTCATAAACGGTTTCTCAAACACCAGCAAGTAAGCCAGGTATGAATATGCAACGAAACAATCCTGACATGATCCAGAACCAACAGAAAGACATTGCTGGTTTTACATCAAGTTAGCATCTGAATATTTTATTCCCTAATAAATTTAATAACTTCGTTGAGACGATTTGAAGACTACAAAACAATTCAACAAAGACAGTTATCAGAATCTGGAATATAAAATATATGCAAAATTTATACATGGTAAGAGTAGCTAAAATGTAAAATGATCTATAATTATTTGATAAAGAAACTTATTTATTCACCTGTGTTTTTCAGTTTTTCTTTTAGTTGCTTCAGGTGCTTCCATTTAAACAAGATCATTAAGGTGAACAGAGTGAGCATTAAAATTACTCCTAAACCCAGACAAATCCAAAGAACTCCACTTGAATCAGTACCTTATGAAATAAAAGAGATGCATTAAATTAATTGTGAACAATAACCAGTGAACAGTAAACATGTCCAACACATAAAACTTCTTCTATATCAAAGGAGCAATTTCTATTTCTGTTGAGTGACAGCTCAGGTAAAGCTTGAGAGTTTTAAAAATTTACTCTTCCTAACACACATACTCATACAGGACACACTGCATACATCTTTAATCTTTTTGAGCCCATATATTATTATGATAAAAGAAATCTAAAACTTGGAAAGAATTAAGTTTTAATGTTTACAATTCTATGTAAAATACAACATGAAAATGCCCAGCATAGCCACAAAGTATTGCAGAAATATTACTTACTTTTATCACAGTAGTTTTCACATGAAGGTGGCGGTGTACTAGAACATCGAAGATGACAGGGCTTACAAGAGAGCAGCAAATTATCAAAGTATTCATTTTTGGGGCAGTGTGCCATCAGGGTCAGTAATTATGGAACTGGAAAGCCACAGAAATTGTAAAAAAGTGAGGATCATCTATAAAGGGCTTTTCAGTTGCCAGTTTTAGCAAATCTAAGAACAGCTAGCAATAATAGTTAGATTTTGATCACAGTTCCACTACATAGTATCATGTTAAATAAAAAGGATTTAACTCCGAGGCCCCCGAGGAATTTCTGCTCCTTTTTTGGCGATTCACAATTGTAGAAAAACTGAACAGCTGCACCAAGATAATTTTCAATGTAAATTTTGTCTGAAACAGAAAATGGTTATTTATAGAAGACATTTCTTGAACAGGTGCTAAACATTGCAAACTTTTGAAAAGCAAGAAGATCTCCAAACAGGAGCTCATAATAATTGTTCTTGTCTTTAGAATTTTGTGGGTTTTTTCATGGTGATGCACTCCAGTAATTATGTTTTCCTGTAATATGCAAACTATGCAAGGCTTACTTTTTGTTCTTTTTGTCCCAGTCCAAGGAACATAAGATGAAAAAAATAGAGGCAGGAGGCATTACAGTAAGAAGATATGACCATTTCAGTTTCTAGGTTTGCCACTGACTCATTCTGCAACTTCAGACAACTTCCTTCGTACCTGCTTCCTTGGATGGACAATAATATTTAGAACACAGAGATGATGAAAGAATTACTTTTTGTAAATTAATGGTTTTCTGGTTTTAAATGAGGTACAGTTAAAGTACAAGTTCAACAATTACTTCATAATTGTGTTGTGCAAGGAACATCTAAGACCTTCAGTTATAACGGGAAAACAAAATCTAGAGATTCAGTCACTGGAATATTGCTTCTCAATTCCAAATTAGCCCCATTTACCTAGTCTATTAGGTTTTGGTCAGATTTTTTGCTTGGTTCATTTTGAGGCTTTTAGCAGATTTTTTGCTTATAACCATAGTTCCATGAGAAATTTAATAAGATTATATTCTAATTGCAAAAGAAGAGCTATATGAATATTCTACTATTTTGATTCAAAACATTATCTGCATTTTTCCCTTATTTTCCCATAACGCAGAACTGTCACGGTACCCGGCATGGAAAAATAGGTAGGCCATAGATTCCATTCCTGCAGTAGAGTTTATACGACACCTCCTTCCCAGCCAGGTGATGGGACACACTGAGGGTGCATAGATTTGTCATGTAAATGCAGTGAGTGTAACATTTCTGAAAAGGCATTTGGTCTTCTCCCAGGAAAAAAAAGCTTCAATAACAGACTGCCACAATGAAAACAATTTACACAGCTTACTTGTATCTTGACTTTTTAATCTAATAGAATTTATTTTAAATACAAAGTCATCCAGTAATATCTAGCAAGTTGCAATAACTGCCTCTATCCAGTATCACTGTCACAGATAGATTAGAATTACAGGCTTATTTATAGTTAAATTTCTCCTTGACATAATTAAGTTAATTGCCTTTTTGACTACAGAAAAAGAAAAATATTGTATAAGGAATTGTAATTTCATACTACGTTACTATGTATGAGACTTATTTTCCCACAAAATGCACCATCTGGGAATACACAAATTGTTTTTAGTGGAACAGACTAACAAAGCAATCTGTATTCTAGTCTCTAGCAGATGGAACTGCTTACTGTGGCTTCTGCACTTACTTCTATAGGCCAGGTGCACAGCTGTAGGCTTTCTATAATCGGGTTTTCTCCCTGCAAAATTTGATTTAGGCATGATGAAAGAAAACATGGATATGGACCGTGGATGATGCCAAAAATTTCACCAAGAAGTCAATGCTGGTGCTGAAATCATAAAACTTGTTCTGACTTGCTTCATACATTCACGCTCTAGGGGAAGAATCCTACGTTATCAGTAGAATATCATTCCTATTTCTGATGAAGCACCATTTGGTAGCTTATGCATAGAGCGATTGGAGTTTTTGCTTTTAAGATGCTGTTTAACCTTTTCAATTATGGAGAGGACAATCACATTCTCAACTGTGATCTGAAGAAGGCAGATACTCGTGAAAGTATCTTCATGGTATCCACAGGTATGGTAAATGAATTTCAGGACAGACAAGCTGGGTCCAATGCTTTAATCTTTTATCAGTATAGTTCCATTGACTTCAGTGGAATGCTTTCTAATTATACTTAAATAGAATATTTTCCTGTGCCACAACTTCCCATTGTTCTTGCATTTTTATATTCATATCTATAACTTGTACTAAGACCCTTTATTATTTTAGAAAGGAACAGCTGACTAATTCTATAGTTGTTTTCTGCAGCTGGTTCCAACACTACACATCTGCAGGATAGGTACAGTCTTTAGTGTAGCAAAATTCCTTATGAAATCAACAGCTCATATTCCAAAACTTTCAAACTATATCATAGCTGCTGAATTCTTCTTACATTATTTAGTAATCTAGGGAAATCACGTGTGCACTATAACAGATGAACGAACAAGTTCCTTAATCAGTTTCACACTTTTTTTTCCAGTTGTACTAGGGGTTTAGGGAAGGACTGTCTTTGTTTCAGCTGCTTTTATTGCAGTTTTCTTGATTCATTTTTTTATGTATGATAATGACACTGGTTTATTTTGACTTTTGTCTGAATTGTGTAGGTATATTTATTTCAAATAGCTTTCTTCAGCAAAGCAGTTTTGCTAAATAGGTAGGTTTATAGAATTTTGGTATTAATTCACAGCTTCACAAAGAGAAAGAAGTTCAGATTGACAGTGGTATTTTTGTTGGGAAATAGCAAAAAACTGTTATTAAATAGCATGTAGAATTCCCAAATAGGCAACACAGATAATAGTAAGCTTGAACAATGATAATTGATAACCTCCTTAAAGTTCAGTGTTGTTACCATGAAGAAAGAAACCTTGAAATGCTTGCTAGCGATAGGTTCTGTTAAACAGAACACCTTTATGTGCCACTTCAGGTCTTGTTCAGAGTTTTTTTTAATGGAAGAGGGATTCTATTGAGGTGTGTCTGTGACTTCTCCCTTATGCAGCCACATTCTGTATCACTGACCAAAAAGTAAAAAAAAAAAAAAAAGTTTAGCACTCCAGAAATCAATGCATGTACTTCCTTTACTGTTTTCAAAAAAACCAGGCCTAAACCAAAAATGCACACAGATAATTCCAAGGTAAAATCTTCCAAGATAAATCTTCAGAAGGTATTGGCTGAAGGAGGTAGCTTTTTTGGAAAATGTTAGTCTAACTTTCCTGCATACCTGCATGAGTAATATTTATTTACTTCAAAGGAATAGTACAAAGTAATTCTATTACAATTTGCTAAGTACTCACAATGAAAATTATTAAACCTATTCAAAGTATGAGTTCATAGAATCACAGAATATCAGGTTGGAAGGGAACTCAAGGATCATCTACTCCAACCTTTCTTGGCAAAAGCATGGTTTAGACAAGATGGCCCAGCACCTTGGCCAGCCATATCTTAAAAGTGTTCAACGTCGGGGAATCCACCACTTCCCTGGGGAGATTATTCCAATGGCTGATTGTTCTCATTTTGAAAAGTTTTCCTCTTGTGTCCAATCAGAACCTCCTCAGGAGTAACTTGTACCTATTACCCCTCATCTTTTCCATGTGACTCCTTGTAAAAGGGAGTCTCCATCTTCTTTGTAGCCACCCTTTAAATACTGGAACATGATGATAAGGTCTCCCCCTAAGCCTTCTTTTCTCAAGGCTGAAGAAATCTAGTTCTCAGCCTTTCCTCATATAGCAAGCTTCCTCTTCCTTTGATAATCTTTTTGGCCCTTCTCTGGACCCTCTCCAGCCTGTCCACATCTTTTTTGTACAGTGTGCATCAAAACTGAACACAGGATTCCAGATGTGGCCTGGCAAGCACTGAGTAGAGTGGGATAATGACTTCTTTTATCTCTGCTGGTGATGCCCTTGTTGATGCAACCTAGCATGATATTGGCTTTCTCTGCCGCAGCAGCTCACTGTTCACTCATGTTGAGCTGCTTGTCCACCAGGACGCCCAGGTCCCATTCCACAGAGCTGCTCCCCAGCCCTGTAAATCCCAGCCTGTGCTGCACTCCTGGATTAGGCTTCCCCAGGTGCAAGACCTTACGTTTGTCTTTGTTAGGTACTCCTGCTCTATTTATTACTGTAAGGTATCCTACAATTGATACATATTTGATATGATATGGTACTATTCATAAAAACTGTGAAGAATGGGCTTCAAGAGAGAAATGTTCATGTAAAAGCAACAAAAGAAATAAGAAGATACATCTAGAATGGGTACACACACTGCTTTAGCATTGCTTCTCTATGGCCACCATTGCTATACCCAAATACAATTTCTAAATTCCAGGGAAAATGTACTGAAGTCATCAACACACTAATCATTTAAATTAATGCTTGACAGTAGGAATACTTTCTCTGATGTAGTTGATGCAGACGTGATTTCATCCCTGAAACTTACAAATTTCACTTCTGAAATGTAAAGTGACACCCTTAAAGAACCTTCTGGAAAGATGACCAGTTTTATAGCTCAGATTCTTCTGAGGTTCAAAAGGAAGTCTGAAATCAAACTTCAGGCTTCTGTGCTCTACTACAGCAAAGAAAAATACATCATCGATAATTTTTAGGTAAGATACATTCCAAAAGATACTATTATGCAACAGATGTGAATGAATCTTTTCTAGAAAACCAGATGGCTCTCAAAACACTGCTTAAGAATTTTTCAAACAACTGTCTTAAAGAACTCACACAAGTCTAAGGTAGCCTGGACTGGTCTTAATCTGTTTAGGATGGCCTCATGAAACAAAGAGTTATAAGTTCATGGTATGGACCTATGTTTTCCTTTCCAGATCATAGTACCTTTCTAGATGATCTGGAAAAAAAAAACAGAACACAAAACAAAACAAAAACCCAAACCAAACCAAAACAGAATACCATTTCAGTGAGGTGTAAGATACACATTCTATTTCTAAGTTTGAAACTCATGTAATTAAATCAATATTGCTTTCCTCAAGCAGATTAAGAAGTTCAGTAAA